CGTGGTTTTTCTTGTTTTGGGTGTTTTTTTTCTTCTCCTTTTTCTTAACATCAGTTAATAGTTAATCATAGAGAAAGAACTATTTGTGTTATCTAGCTTTCAGGCAGTGGTAGTGTATGGCTTCAGTTCCAGAACTGATTCTGTGTCTCACAGGTTGTTTTACCTCCAAGCACTGTGACAAATTGCTAGCACAGGACCAGGAAGATGCTAAAGAAGATGTGTCACTGGGCTTGATCACCCTGTCTTCGCTCATGTATAAAGACTGTACTATACTGGGCTGTGTCCTATGTTCTGAAGCCACTGATGCACATGTGGAGATTAAATATAGTCAAGATACTAAAGTTGCTCATATCTGCTGCATATCCTTTTTACTGCTATTTGTCCTTTACCTGGACTAGTTGCCATAAGTCTCTGAAGACCTTCCAACATTTCCTTGCATGCCTGCCCCATATCATGAATATTTGAGACAGTTATGAGCATCCTGCTTCTTTCTGCACCTCCATTTTTGTATGTTATCCTAAGCACACCACTCTGATCCATCAGGGATGGACCAGTAAAACTATACAAAATGCTGGCCTGTAATAGCTTCAATCTGTGGGACCATTAAGATGGAGGAAATTTTTCCAGAGGACATATGAAAGAATTTTCAGTAAGTGTTCAGTATGGTCCCATGGATTTCTAGCACAGTCTGCCAATGTTGTAATGTACATGTGGATGCATGCGGTAAGAAGCATGATGGAAAAGGGAAGAAGGATGGTTTCTGTGCCACAGCCTTTCAGGAACAGCCAAAAATAAAATGCAAAACTTTCCATGTGTTTCAGATGTCAATTCAATGAGCTGAGCTCTGAACATTTTCAGAATCAATTCAGACTACTGATAGCCCATGAAAAGCAAGTAAGAGCCCCACTGTACCAATGCAATGATAAGTGTCATTTGAGAATTTCTATATTCTTTGCTGCAGTCAAACAGCTCATTGTCAAAATCACTGTCACACTGAGATTAAAGGACTTTTAAGCAAAGAACCATGCTAGTTACAATTCAGGTTAGTTATACAGTGAAACAAAACATTAAGAAAGCTTTTTTTCCTTCCCCCCCCCCCCCCCCCCCCCCCCTTTCTCCTAAATGAAGTATGGTGCTGATTGTTGAAGTTGAATGTTATTTTCCTTAGTTGTGCCAGTTTTGGTTTTCCCATCAGTTCTCCCAGGCAGGGTCACCCAACAGATTTGTTTCTTTTGTTTTTAAGGAAAAGGAACATGCCCAGAAACAAAAATGAAGCTTATCTACATGGATATGGACCAGTCCGCTTCCAGGAGAGATGATTTTAAAAGCCTAAGAAAGGTAACTACAGAGACACCAAAGAAAATGTGGGGGATGCCAACATTTGGCACTCTCGGGCTACTTTGGTAACCTCAGTCGAGGCCAATATAACACAAGTTTCACCAGACCAAACGTGTCATCCCACCTCTGCATCCAATGCCTGAAAATTGTAAGAGTCAGCAGCATTGTCAGGCCTGTTCTTGCTGTTTCACTGGTTGTTTAGGCAAGTGTGCACAGAGTTTGTGTTCCCCTTGTGGCAGCACAAGTGTGGTCTATGCAGAAATAAAATGAACATCCAGTTCAATGTGAACTAGTCAATACTGATTACATGCTATGAGGACTGAATAGCAATTGTTATATGTATATGTGTGCATGTGTATATACAGTTATGTGTTTTCAGATATCTCTGACTTCTGGGATCTTTAGATATTGCCCACACAGGAAGTCCTTAACTCACCCCATAAAATTTATCTGGCTGAATGGCCCTGGAATGAATGTCACTAAGGCAACATTAAGAGGTATTTAAAAATACATTGTATTTTATGAACACTTGTATACATTGTATTTTAAGAACACTTCCAAATACTGATACTTTGTATCCTCAAGAGTTTTGGGTGGGGTTGGTTTCGTTAGTTTTTTTTTTAAACACATTAGAAATAATATTTAAGAGTTACTATTTATCAGTTATTTAACTAAAAGTACAGTTTAAAGTTCCCACTAACTCACCACATTGCCCCAGTACAGATGCAGAACTCCACTACTATGCTATATAGCACAGCCATTCTCACGTGTCCCCCAGAAATGTAAAGCAGAGGTCCCAGAGCTTCCCTGAGGCCCTCCATGAGGTTCCTCCTCCTTGAGATATCTTTCCATAACTGTTTCATTTATCCATCAATCCTATGAATATCTTAACATTATGATTTGGATTTTGGAGTTGCTAATTGCTTTTGCTTTGTAAATATAAAAGGCTTATCTGACTGGAAGCTGACACACATGCTAATGGATCTTATCACTTAATTGTAGAAGGCTCTAGTTGAAATGTAGGAATCAAACAGAAATCTGACTAGTAGTGTTTATAAGAAGGTGACTAAGCAGAAAAGCCAAGAGGTCCTCATATCACAGGGGAAAAAAAAAATTAAATGAGCTATGACACTTCCCTAAATACTGTAGTCACAATTCTAAAACAGGTGGTTGCCTGAATTCTGAAATAGATTCCATGAATAGACTTACACAATTTCATAAAAGAAGGCTGAAGAGTTTTGAACAAGGTTATGTCTGGTGAGGAGGGAAATGGAAAAAGAGCTAAAAGATAACAACAGAGAGTTAAAGAAAAAACCCTGCTGCCTTATGCTTCTGTATTTAGAAAAAGTAACATATATAAAAAGATATATATCTTCTAAAAGGATAGCAATTTCCCTTTTTTACATGCATCCGGTACACTTTCTAGGGGATGAGGGAGCGGTGGTAAAGGGAAAGAATTAGGTAAATTTCTTACCCTAAAAATACATAAGCCATTTTGATTAATAAATAAGAAAGATGTAGGGAGATTGGGGAGTTGCTATTGAAACACTTTTTTTTTTTTCTGTTTTCCAAAGAAATTGCATAGAATTATGACAGTGAAGATCTTTTATAGTGATGCGAGTTCTCAGAATATGAAGACTACATGCAAATTGAAAGAGAAACCACACCAAAACAAAATCCCTGAAGGGTTTTTCAGTAGATTCTAATTTTCACACTTCTTGAAGACTTATTTCTGTTTATTTCAATATTTCTCTGCTAAATGAAAAAAAAAATTGTCATAATCACCAGAAATTTGTGAAAAATCTGTGCTATTAAAAAAAAAAAAACAAAACAAACAAGTACCCCAACCCACTTTTTTTCTTTTTAAATTGTGTTTAATATCAATAGAAATTAGTTTATTATTATCTGTTTCAGGGAGTAAGTATGATTACCTTGAGCAGGTCTGCCTTAAGCCAGGATGGTTAGTAATAATAGCATACTGATCTGCATTTTGTTGTGAAGTGTTAAAAATACAGGTAGCATTTATATTCTGATTTGCACGTGTTTAGCAAGGTGATAACCCGAGGATTAGTGTGAGACTATTGGAACAGTCTCTCCTTTCCCTTAAGGTGCCGAGTTTCCCCAGTACGAAGCATTCTCAGAACATGACGTTCTGACTTGTGGTGCTTCGTTCGTTACCTTCTCTTCTCTTAGAATAATTCTTTAGGCTCTCAGCTTTTCTTGTAATAGTCAAAAATATGCTTGATAAGTAAAGGTATGACAGACATATGTATGTGTGCACGTTCCGCGAGAAAAAAAAAAACCAAACAAAACATAAAACGGATCACGTTTTAATCCACACGAAGGAAATATTACGTTAAATTTAAAAAAGGAAAAAAAAAACCATCACGTGGCTTGAGCCGTGCCTTCCCCTCCTCACTTAAGCAACACGTAGAAGGGCTTGGTAGCAGAAAGAAGCTGTAGGTCGAAGAGGACAAGCCTGGCAGAGAGTACTTAAATATACGCGACTAAGGTCTCTAAGCAAGCAAATACTAGTAACTAAAAAATGGAAAAGCAATGCATGGAAAGCCAAAAGCACAAGTGGAGCCGGGGCGGGCGGTGATCGGCGGCGGGGCGGGGCGGCAGCGCCGAGCGCGGCCTCGGATTGGTCGGATTTTGCCGCAGACCCGCGGGCAGCGGGGAGGGACGGGGACGGGAGCGCCGCAGCCCCCGCTCCTGCCGCCGCCGGAGACCCAGAGCTGCCTCGGAACAGTCACCCGCGGGACGGGGGGGCGACACGAGGCGGGGGGGAAGCGGGACACAGGAAAGAAGCGAAACGAGGCGCAGGCTGAGAGCGGCGGGGGCAGCGCGCAGGGCGGCCCGAGCGGGGGGAGCGCGGAGCGGGGGTCCAGCCCCGCTCGGCACAGGCA